CACCTGGGACTACAGCTCTGCACTGTCACACCGGCTAATTTTGTCTTTTCTTTTCTTTTTTTCTTTTTTTTTTCTTTTTTTTTTTGTAGAGATGGGGGCTTACAGGTCATAGGTAGATTAAACAATTTTCTGATTTGCAATTAGTTAATGAAAAGAAGCTTTGTTTATAAATTTGAGGTCATCAGGAAAGAACGTCAGCTCTGGCTCACAGGAGTGACTCCCTCCAAGCTCTTCAAGAAGAAATTTAGAACAAAGAATGGTAGTCCAGAATTCAGTCTTCAGTTCCCCCTTATCAGAGGTCTATGTGCCACAGATCTGTTTGGTGGGGGTCTAGGTTTCCAGAAAACAACTCAGGAACATATATTAAGATGTTATCTTTAGTTTCTCTAGGGGAACCAAGCATCTGACTCTCACTTCCACTTCCTTGGCCTGTTGTTTCAGACTCCTATGACCTTCGTGCTCATCAAGTTGCTAATTTACTTCTCAGGGCTAGCTTGGTGCTCGCCTAGGCTAGTCTTGAACCCCCGAGCTCAGGTGATGCACCTACCTCAGCTTCCCGAAGTGCTGGGATTGCAGGTGTGAGCCACTGCACCCAGCCTAGCCAGGTTTTTGTTTTTCGGTTTGTTTGCTTTTTGTTTTTTTGTTTGTTCGTTTGGTTGGTTTTGAGACAGAGTCTCACTCTGTTGCCCAGGCTGGAACGCAGTGGCATGATCTCCACTCACTGCAACCTCCACCTCCCAGGTTCAAGCGATTCTCCTGCCTCAGCCTCCTGAATAGCTGGGACTACAGGTGCCCGCCACCACGCTGGCTAATTTTTGTATTTTTAATAGAGACAGGGCTTTATCATGTTGGCCAGACTGGTCTTAAACCCCTGACCTCAGGGGATCTGCCCACCTTAGCCTCCCAAAGTGCTGGGATTACAGGCGTGAGCCACCGTGTCCACCTGCCAGGTTAGTTTTTAATTAATCAGCCCATAATAGAAGAAGAAGAAAAGAACATAACCTAAGACAGATTGGCACATTAGTCATTCACTTCCAACGCTGATATACACATGGCAACACATCCACACACATACATGTGCACACACATCTGACATACACACAGCTACACAAATACACACATACACATGAACACATATCTCTCAGGCAATTCACATATTCTAAAATACTCAGAGTAATTGATCATAAAGTGTTATCTATTTATCCATCAACCTGTAATCATCATTATCGTGTTTAAAATCCCCACTGTTTCACCTAAAATGTTAAATATTGCCTGTTGTTTTCTTGCTGTCTCTTTCACCAAGTAAGTTTAATTTCAGCTGGCAAAGGAAAAAGTTACACACACACACACACACACACACACACACACACACACGCATACACATAGAATTTCTCCAAGAATATTGTTAGGATTATCTTACCTTAGAAGGGAGGGTGAGAATCATGAGAAAGCGGAAAATGTTAAGATTGGATTTATTGTTTTGCAGAAAGGGAGTAGCTAAAACCCCCTAGTAATGAGCAGAAGCTTTGTTTTCGGTTCTGTGATATTAACCTTTATTTCACCAAGATAAAGCCCACAAAATTAGAACCCGTCACTCGCATTACAACTACATGGGGGTAGGGGGTCCATGAGGAGCAGACCCCCTATGTGACCACAGGAGCAGTGGCAGGACAGAAGACCTGCCAGGGTTGCCGACAGGGACATCTTGGCCCAGACATCATGGACAGGGTCCCCCCTGGCTCACCCAACCAGGCAGAGGCAGGTAAGGCTATGGGGCCAGCAACGCTCACCACCTCACTCAGGGACAAAGACATCCTGCCCGAGCGTGGAAGGTGGAGATGAGGATGAGTGCCAGGTGCCTTCTTTGCACCCTGTACCCCTAACAAATAAGTTTCTAATGCAAAGACCCAGGCCTTAGAAGTGCTCACGGTGATCAGCACGTGGGGAAGTGTGGGAAGGACTGGGTTAGGACACACACCGACGCACACCTAAGGCAACACTGAAAGAGCTCTCCTCCCCATCCCTGAGGCCACAACTGGGGCTCCTGCTGACGGGGGCACCCACAGCATCTAAAAGGAAACCACTGCTGCCCTCTGCTCAGCAAAATGACCCCATCTTCCCTCCAGGAGAAAGGTCTCTGGAGAGGCCCTCCCAGGACTCTGCCCTTGCTGCACTCAGCTCCCTGCTGTTTGGATTTCTGCTTCCAAATTGCTGGTCTCGAACTCCTGACCTCAGTGATCCGCCCACCTCAGCCTCCCAAAGTGCTGCGATTACAGGCATGAGCCACCATGCCTGGACTTAAACTTTCTAATTATGAAAATAACACACATAGAAAAGTGCATAAAACATATATTTATAATTCACCCAATAATAGTAAAAGTCATGCCCACCCACACCCAGGTGAAGACCTAGAGCCTGCCAGAAGCCAAGGTTCTCTCCCTAACCCCTGCCTCAACACCCATGGTGCCCACCATCTTGACTTTTACCACAGTCAATTCCTTGCTGTGTTTCATTTGTTCACCTGCATATGCATCCCTACATGACGTACGGTATTCATAATATCTGTAAATTTTTTTTCTTTTTTTTTTTTCTGAGATAGAGTCTCACTCTCTCGCCCAGGCTGGAGTGCAATGGCGCGATCTCAGCTCATTACCGCCTCCGCCTCCTGGGTTCAAGTGATTCTCCTGCCTCAGCTGGGACTATAGGTGTGCGCCACCACGCCCAGCTAATTTTTGTATTTTTAGTAGAGATAGGGTTTCACCTTGTTGGCCAGCATGGCCTCGATCTCTTGACCTCATGATCCACCCACCTCAGCCTTCCAAAGTGCTGGGATTACAGGCGTGAACCACCGCATACAATCCTAAGTCCCCTGCCAACTGAATAGACCCCGCTCTTGGGCAAAAAGACCCCAGAAAAACCTTAAAAACTGAGTTCTCAGCCATGATGGGATGGGAGGTCAGACACGCCTCATTATCCCCCCTCCCTTTTGCTTGCAGTATACACACAACAACTGACCTGCATTCATGTTAAAATAGAGGCTGTAAGACTGACAGAAGGCTCTGTGGCAATAAGATGCCACATTATAAACAGGACCCAAGGCCATGTCAGGCAAGGGTTAAGTCCCACATCCCCATGCTTTAAAGAATAAACTGTTTTCTAACTGCCATAAGGTTCTTCCTTTTCTCTAGCAACAAAACAAGCACTGGCCATGAGATAAACAATATTAAAGCAATTTGTAACTCACCACTAGACAATGACTAACTGAGTCCGCTGTTTCATCAGCCATAACTACAGCTTTGATTGGATAAGAAATAGATTTCAGTAACTTTCCCCAGATAAGAAGACCAACCACCACAGACTGGTTCTGGCCGGTTTACAGAGGCTGCCTTCAGGTCCTGAAAAGATCTTTTCACATATAGGGCCTAATTGTAATACATTTAAATGCTAAGTCTCCTCCCCAGGGTGGAATAGGTCATAGGTTACATACCTATGGTTCAATACGCATGCATCAGGATGGTCTTCATGAATATTCATAGCTCCTCCTGTAAGCTGTTGAATATGTATGTTCAGCCAACCTGTTGGGCACAAAGCTCCTATCTCAGCCCCTCCTCTTTGAAAATACCTGTGGGCTTTGCCAGACGCTATGCTTCCCAGGCTGAGGAATGGCCCCCTTACACACTCTAACCCTTATAAGAACTAAAGTCTTCTCCTACATTTATAAATTCATGATTTTTTTTAGTTAACACATTTAAACTCTATTGAATATGAAGTATGCAATTATCTTACACACAGATAATGAAAAATGATGCAGTTAAACGAAAAAACAACACTTTCTTGATTAGAATTTTCATTTTATGCTTATTAAAAAGAAAATTTATGATGTGTGTGCACACAGCTTTTATTATACATTATGCTTGTGCATGCATTAAAAAAGAAAAATTAAGCAAAATATTCTGGTTCAGGTAGTCTTAAAACCTCTTCCTAATTGGGCTCCACATTCTCCGCATCACTTTTGACCCAGATTGTCTGTGCCTGTGTCTCCCCTTGCTGTATCATTCTCTATGCAAAAAGAGTGCTGGCCATTGAGAATTTCTTAGCATAGTGCATCTCCACTCTTTCTGGGCTTTCTTACAGACCGCTGGCACTCTTAGCATCATAATTACCACGAAAGTCAAGACCATTTGACCTCATTAGCCAATAGGTGGCATCATCTTCAAACTTCCAGAGCCTCATCACAGCTCATACAGAGGAGCTGCTGGTGCCACTGCTGAGTGTCTGGCTGAGTCCAGCTGCACAGCTGACCTTTTTGGCAGTTTGAGCTGCTTAAGAATTTTCAATCTGTTTTCGTGTATGTGTGAGGCATCAGCTTGGGTTAGTAAGTTACAAGCTATAAGTATGCTTTTTAATAAGCACAAAATGAAAATTCTAATCAAAAAGTGTCAGTTTAATTGCATCATTTTTCCTTATTGGTACGTAAGATAATGGCACACTTCACAATCAATAAGGTTTTAAATGTTACGGATACAGTATGTAGTTTAGGGACGCATATGCAATATTTAGGAGTGCACTGTGCTACGGATCATGAAGATCAAGATAGCAGGTTGGCAGGGTGCTCATGCCTGTAATCCCAGCACTTTGGGAAGCCAAAGTGGGCAGATCACGAGGTCAGGAGATCGAGACCATCCTGGCTAACATGGTGAAACCTCGTCTCCATTAAAAATACAAAAAACTTAGCCAGGAGTGGTGGCAGGCGCCTGTAGTCCCAGCTACTCGGGAGGCTAAGGCAGGAGAATGGCGTGAACCCGGGAGGCGGAGCTTGCAGTGAGCCAAGATCGCGCCACTGCACTCCAGCCTGGGCGACAGAGCGAGACTCCGTCTCAAAAAAAAAAAAAAAAAGATAGCAAGTGCCTTTGGAGGTGTGGCAGGGGTGGGAGAAACAGACCCCTGGGCTTCTGTCTAGGTCTTTATCTGGGTGTGGCTGGGTATTCACTTTCACTTACACCATGAGTTATGAGTCAGGCATTCAGGCAGGGCTCAGCCAGGCAGTTCTCCGGCCCCCAGTGGTATCGTCTGAGGTGACTGAGCAGTAATCAGTTGATGGACGGACTGGAGGTTAGATGGGCTCAGGGGTCCCAGAGAGAATGTCCTAGCAACAAACAGGTCAAGAGATTTCACCTGAGTTTTTAACCTTGGTTTCTTCTAAAAGTTCTGTTCTTTTTTCAATACTACTATATAACTTTATACACTTTCCTATTCCCCGCAAATATTTTCAAGCTTGTCTTGATTAAACATAGTAAGATTTGTTTTATATTCTACATCTGATCATTTCAACATCTAAGTCTTTGAGAATCCATCGTTAATTTTTTGGGAGGTGGGGTGGTGCTGTTGATTTTCATTTATGGTATCTTATTTCATTTGTACTTGACCATCTTTGACTATGTGCAGTTATTGTACTTGGGAAGTTATTAAAAGAGTAATCTTTGAAGGCCTAGATGAAGGTATCATCCTTCAGAGTAAACCGGAAATGCCTCTTAAGGACACCATTTCATGTCCCCACAACTTCCACCTAACCCATAATATAATCACCTTCTGCTCTCCTCTCCCTGAAGTCTGGTTCTCTTGTGAGGCCATGTTAATGGGAGCCTTCTCCTTTACCTTGAACACCTTGGGGTCAACAGGTAGAGCTGGCTATTTCCTCACTTGTCATAAAAAAAATACAGCCATTTTTTTAATTCCTCATTAAAAAAATACTTGTTCCATCTTTATTCATAGCATTCAGCTAAGTAACACCCTACACCTCAGAAATTTCATCTCCCGAGCTATACTGGTACAAGATTTTTGCACCTGGTTCACAATGTTCCTTTGCATCCAATTTCTGTCATCACTCAGAATGACATCAACATATATTATTCCATCCACTTTAAATTCAACGTGACCACAAATGAGTCCTGCAAAACCTGCACCCCGTCTTCGTGTATTTCCAGTAACAGTGAAATTGCAAATGTCTCAGCTAGTCATCCAATCACCCAATCCAGAGGCCCAGACGCTTTCCTAGACAACTCTGCCTTCCAATGAGCACCAAGTGCTTCCTTAATGTTTTTCCATCTACCCCTGTTCCTGTCCCCACTGCCCCTGCCTATGTTCAGCCTCCCCGAGCCCCAGGCTTGGATGCTGATAAATGACTCAAGTGGCACCTATGAAACAGCTAATGGAGCTCCCCACATCCTCCCACCAGGGCCTCCACAGAGCCGGTATGAACTACAGAAATGGGCAGTTACTTTCCCCATGATGCTGTCATTCCCATTAGTATTAGAAAGCCTCTGTTTTTTAATTTGTCCCACAGCATGACAGACCCCAAACACACATTTACTACGGTATAGATATACACATTAAGACCAGTGGTGACTGTAACAGCTCATGTAAAAGCTGAGTTCTATGGCTTGGGCTGACTTTCTGTGTAGGGGGATGCAAGCCTGTAGAATCCCATGAGAACTGACTTCTGCATTGGGTGCTTTTCTGTCTCCTCCTGTGTCTCTCACATAAGACCCATCAATGAATGCTATTAAGTTAACATGGGAACGAGACTATATGATGAATCCGATGGAGGCCACGCATCTTTGTTGAGGGCTGCGAGGTGGTTGTGCTGCTGTCCAGTCAGGATCTGGCAACAGAGTCACTGGGCTTAAAGTTCACACCTTCCTTGAATCCCACTAGGGTCAGACAGTAACGCTTACAGAGCACTGACAAGCGCTGTGTCATAGGAACTTAAAAAGCAGCAGCAACAGGCCAGGTGTGGTGGCTCACGCCTGTAATCCCAGCACTTTGGGAGGCCGAGGTGGGTGGATCACTTGAGGTCAGGAGTTCAAGACCAGCCTGGCCAACATGGTATCATCCTAGATTATAGAATTCAGGCAGGGCTCAGCTAGGCAGTTTAGTAGAAACCCTATCTCTAGTAAAAATACAAAAATTAGCCAGGTGTGATGGTGCACACCTGTAATCCTAGCTACTCAGGAGGCTGAGGCAGGAGAATCGCTTGAACCCGGGAGGTAGAGGTTGCAGTGAGTTGAGATCACGCCACTGTACTCCAGCCTGGGCAACAGTGAGACTCTGTCTCAGAAAAATAAAAATAAAAATAAAAATAAATAAAAGCAGCAGCAACGGCATAAGGCCCACATAATTACATCCCTGAGCCAAGGCCTGCACCTTCCCAAGCAGAGACCCAATGTTGGAATGACTTCTAAACAGACTGGCATCCCTGGAGCAACAGAATCCAGTGGCACATAAAAGTCAACCAAAGGCTAGTGTTTGAGGAAGCACACCTACCACTAACAGTACCCTTATTCTCCTCACAGAAAAGGGAGAAGAGATGACCAGCTAGGAACTGACTCCAAGTACAGGCAGGAAAATCAATGGCTACTTAAGGATCCGAAGGCTTCTTTAGCTTCTCCTAGCTATTGCAAAAATGCACCTAGCGATGCTTCATGCAGCACCAGGAGTGGCTTCCCTCTCAGAAGAGGCAGGGACCCGTTGCCTGCAATGTACACCAACCTCAACAGGGTGGAGCTGTTTCTCTGCAGTGACAAAGTTATTGCTTCATGGAGCTGTTGCTTCATTTGTAAAACAGGTGGCTTTGGCGACGGAACTATTTTCCATCCATCAGCCACTAACAAATATTCCAAATACTTGACCTCGGTCTAACGATGTTGCAAATTATCTAAAGGAGCTTTATGCCCTTGAGAGGTTAGAATTTTGGTAAAGCTAATGTATCTTATTTTTGTTTTGGGGACAGGATCTCACTCTGTCACCCAGACTAGAGTGCAGTGGTGCGAGCTCGGCTCACTGCAACCTCCACCTCCCAGGCTCAAGAGATCCTCCCACCTCAGCCTCTCAAGTAGCTGGGACTACAGGCACCCACCATCAGGCCTGGCTAATTTTTATGTTTTTGTAGAGACAGGGTTTCAGCATGTTGCCCAAGCTGGTCTCAAACTCTAAGCTCAAGCAATCTGCCCACCTCAGCCTCCCAAAGTGCTGGTTTTGCAGGTGTGAGCCACCATGTCCAGCCTAATGTGTCTTGTTTACAAGCACATGAGGTGTTACTTATCAATAAATCATACATATATATCCGTATATGGACTCCTGAGGGGGGGGAAGTTTCTTTAAGTTCTTTTGCAAATGCCTAGAGATTATAGTAGGCAAATCTCTGAATCTCTGGGGCATGCATTGCCACTAATATGAAAAGCCTTCATAGGTAAACACAAAGAGATACCTTGGTTCCTCTGCTAAAGGTATAGAAAAGAAAGCTCAACATAAGTTTATTACTAAAATTAGGTCACATAATAGGAGATTAACATAGTAGCAGGGTTGAGTACTACAACTGTCAGACATACCCAAAATATATTTCTATCAGGTCTTGTAAAAATCTGTAAGCAAGCTAATCTTGCCACTTTTCCTTCCTTTTTCGTAAGTAATATACAGAGAGTATTACAAGGCAAATGTCATTTCTTTATGATTCTGTTTCTAGTTCTCTAATTATAGGTTCTATTCCCTGTATATTTGAGCTGGGGAGAGGATATAGTTTTACACATGACCATGATTTCTCTTTGGTGTAAGCTACGACAGTAGGGTCGATCAAATGATGGACTTACTGAGTCAAAGTGTTGAAGAAAGACTTCAGCAAACAGGGCCTCTTGTCTCACCGAAGATGGCTACACATCCTCCAATTTGCCCAGTGGAAAGGCTCACTCAAGGTGTCCCATCCTTGTCACCAAACTTGTGGGGGCAGAGAAGAAACCAACAGCCAAAGGAACATGCCAATTCAAAATAGAGAATGATTGGACAATTTTATTATTTAGAAAAACCTTGAATGCACTCAGGTAGCCAGCAAGTGTCTACACAGCTATGGTAGATTTTTTTTAGCTCTGTTGTTACAGAATTAAAGCTACAGTTACTATCCCTTATTCCATTTTTAGTAAACAGCCAGAGGCTATTCAATTTGCATCAGTAGTTATGTTGAGTTTACCCTGATGGCCTGATTTTTATAATTCTTTATCAGGCTTACCCTGATGTTCTGTTGTTATCATTCCTTACCACTACCTCCTGTAACCGCCCAAAAGTGCACCCGCACACACGAGGCCATGTTCAGTTTCCCACACTCCACATCAACAACTGGCACCAGAACCTGCCCAGTTGCTCAAGCCAAAATCTCAGGAGTCATCCAGGTTTTCTCTCTTGCCACCCTGCGGCCCCACATCCAATCCATCAGCAAGAAAGAGCCGGGAGCCGGAAAGGCAAGACTCTGTGAGTTCTTCACTCCGCCTGCACCTGTCTGAGCCACCATTCCATTCCCTCTCCCACCTGCAGCCTGCTGATGTCTCCCTTCCCCTGTGCCTTCCCTCTTTCCAGCTCAATCTTTCTTTCCCTGGGTTGTCAATTGTGTAATAAAGATTATAAAATCACTCTATCCCAATAAATATAGCTTCTATCAGTCTTATTGACTGAGGCACTGCAGAATTCTCGGTTTGGAAGGGGATTTTGCTGCTTAAAACGTTTCAAAATCACGGCCAGAGGGAACCAGCAGCCCTTTTGTGGAGAGCAGAGCCAGCTCCTCTTGTACGTGAATAAAGAACCATAAATGAGACACAGCACATTTGGGCAATCTTTTACAGTAGGCTTTAAAAATCATTTAAAATACGTTTGTTTAAAAAAAAAAGTAATTCAAATCAAGCATTTGCAACATACCTAAGAGACCTCTACGGAGACTTAGCATCTACAAGACCCAGTTTGGCAACTGCCAGCCCCAGGGAATAAGTGAAGTTTCTCGGCACAAGTCACACAAGGTCCTCGCCAACCCACCTCTGCCTGCTCCCCAGGGCTCTCCTCCACCCCAGCCCTCTCCGTAAGGCCAGCGAGAGGCTCCAGGACTGCCCGCCCCAAATCCTTTCCTCCTTTTCGGGAACAGCGAGAGTCCAAGAGATGCGGTCACGTGAGGCCGTCCCGCCAATCTGGTGTGAGCAGAGGCCCCCATTCGCCCCGGAGTGGAGCCGGGCGGGGGCGGAGCCGGGCGGGGGCGGGGCCGGGCGGGGGCGGGGCCGGGCCGGGCTGGGAGCGGAAGGAGCTGGGGCGAGGACAGAACCGCGTGAGGAGGGGGCCGGGGAGGGCGAGACCTGGGAGGGAGTGGAGGGGGCGGGGACAGGGCGAAGCTGGGCGGGGAGGGGGCGGGGGCTGCGCAGGGGCGGGGCGGATGTTTCCCACATTCTGGGCTGCAAGGTGAGGAAAACCCATCCCGGAGGAAGCCGGAGTTAGGCTGGCTGGAGGCGTTCTGCATGATGAACACAACAGTTCTCACAAAAGTAATGATGTCATACCAGAGCACCAAGAGAGGGTGGTCTGTGACCATGTATGCTTGATAAATCCTGGATTAAGCAAAGTTAGGCCGGCTTCTTTTTCACTAGACGTCTTGGGTTATTTCCGCCGAGGCTGCAGCCTGGAGCACCTCCCACTCCTTCTCCACAGGGGTTATTTCTGAAGACCCCTTCTTGGAGGAGCTCTGCGAGGCCCCTGTGGCCGCGCACCTGCTGCCCTGGCCTCCTGGACAGCAGCTCCGCGAGGCTCTAGTGTGTATGGCCTGGGCTGCCTCCCGGTACTGTTACCGCAGGCCTTGGGACCCGTGCCCGCCACGAGGCTCCGGAGGCAGCCCTGGCCTCCAGCTCTTCTCACATAGCCCGGGCGTCCAGCCCAGAGCCGGGCACTAGTGCCTTTCCTGTTCCCTGAACGCTGAAAGTTGTTGAATGGATCTGGACATTGATTGGAGTCAGGTAGAAAACATTCAGTATGTTCTGTTTGGGAAACACTGAAACGGGCAACACAAGATAGAAATAACTACATCGGGAACAGCGCAACTTTGTAACGCCCGCGCTGAAGGAGGCAGCATTTGTGTGGGAGCGTCCGGCGCTGCCCAGAAGAGCTGGACCGCCCAAGGGAGGCGCTGCCCAGAGCAGGAGCCCTGAGCTCCCGGAAACGGGATAGCGTTATCTTTAAAGTAGGCGTGGGAAATACCTTGCTTCTCTGTAGTTTTGTGGGTGTATACACAGATACTCCTTGACTTACCATGAGGGTTACATCCCAGTAAACCCATCCTAATTTGAAAATACCATAGTCAAAGATGCATTTAATACACTTATCCTACTGAACATCATAGCTTAGTGTAGCCTGCTTTTAACGTGCTCAGAACACTTACAGTTGGACGAAATCCTAATTTATAGTTAAATGTTGAATATCTCATGTCATTTATTGGATACTGTGCTGAGAGTGAAAAAGAGAATGGTTGTATGGGTACTCAAAGTAAGAGTTTGTATAGAATGTGTATCACTATCACACCAGTAAGAAGTCAAAACATCATACATCGAACCATCCTAAAGTGGAAATCGTGTGTGTGTGTGTGTGTGTGTGTGTGTGTGTGTGTGTGGTGTTTAACTGATAGGCAAGAGACATTTCCTAGTGGCCTGTTTAATGATGCTAAATTACCTTAGAGTACTATCTAAAGTACTATTTAAATGAGACACTATTTAAAAATTAGTTTAAGTGACAACTCCAATAAACATGGGTTCATCTTTCAGTCTCTTATTAATCATGTTCCAAAAAGAATTGAAGTTCTCTACCTGAGGCGTTTTGAAATTTTTTTCAATGTGGTTTTATGATAGTTATTTGAGATTACTCGACAGAGAGAAGACCATTTGTTATAGTTTGTCTACCAAGAGAAGTTCCAAGTGTACCCCTGTTAAATTCCTTGAAAAGGAATACCTTGGGACAGACACTTAAAGGGAACTGAATGGGGCCCTGGCCAGTCATCAATTTAAAAAGCTCTAGTAACTGAGAAAGTAAAATTCCATTTGCTCGTATGCCTGTCTTGCAAAGATCTATCGAAACTCCGCGTTCTATTGCCTTTCTTTGGAATGAGAGCTGGAGCAGCTGACAGGGAAATCAATTGGTCTCCACCCTATTAATTCTTAATTAACATCGAGCTTGCAAGCATGTGAGTGCTCCCACAGGAAGGAGGCCTCGTGTCAAGAGGAGGGAGCCGTGAGCACTGGCTGCTGGAGGGCTTTTGCAAGCAGCCCTCATGGATGGAGCCCAAAGGTGGAACACAGTCACCAGTACTTTCCGGCTGAACGTGACCCCTGCAGTGTCAGGATGAGCCATTTGCACCACCAGTTTCACGGCAGAAGGGCACGAGGAGCAATTCATGTGTGGTTGCACCTGCCCACCTGCCCGAGGTGGTCAAGGAAAGGGCAACATCACAGGACCACCACTGTGAAGCCTCTGAGAAGTCATTTTTGCCCCCTGCCACTGCAAAGCTCAGAATTGTGAGAGAGTCAGAGAAACTGCTGTCACCACACACCCCGTTGGAAGTGACCATAAGGGTTTTGTCTCTGCTCCAGGACAGGAGGCCCCCACGATGTGGGTCCAATAGGTGGGTGGTCTCTATGGTTGATGGTCCCTAAGTGGTGAGGTACTATTTAAAAATTAGTTAAAGCGATCACTCCAATTAACATGGATTCATTTTCAGCTTATTAATTATATTCTTATTGAATACGATTTATTGTTTCAATGTGATTCAGTATTTCAACCATGATAGGGTCTCACCAACGGCAACATGGTTGAACCCCTTCTGGAGGAACCTCAAGGGCGCTACCATAACCAGTGTCCCACTCCAGCTGATTGGGTCCACCCTCAGTTCCTGTTCAAGGAGGCAGCACGGCTATTTGTTTCCCAGAAGAAGCGGCTTTGTACACCTGAGTGGGCATTATCCCCAAAAGTGGCCCATAAATAAGTGAGCAGCCGCCCGTACCCCCCTGCCCTGTGATGGTGAGCTCCTAAGGGCGTGAGCCTCTCACGCCGCTGGAGGGCTTGAACAGAGGCTTAGCTGAGTGGGCCATTTCTATGGCAACAAAGGGCCAGAGAAGGGGCCATCAGGCTTGGAGAGGGCTTACATTAGACAGCAGAGATGAGACCAAAGGAAGTAGGGGGTACACGCAGCCCTGACGCTGTGGGGCTTTGCCTGTATGCTGCCCTGCAAGGGACAGCAGCTTCCTCCACCTACAATTCCTGCAAGCCTCCCTTTTTCATGGGGTGCTTCCTTTGGCTTTTTGCTTTTAGGTTTGTTGTGTTTTGTTTTGTTTTGTTTTGTTTTAATTTTAAGGAAAACCGGTTCAGAGCATGGGTTAATTTGCTAAAGCAATCAGGATGGTTCCTTCTGGGATTCAGGGTGGAGGAGGCCATAGAAAGCATGGGCCGTTCAGAGGCAAGAGGACAGGAAGTGGGCACCATGAGAGATGGAGGGAGGGCCTCATCCTGAACATCCTCCAGCCCCAGCCCGCAGCATTCCTGCAGAACTCTTCCTGGAATAGGGGCCACCCTGAGCCTCTGTCCCTTGCCCCACATAAGCTCAACCTTTACCAAAAGGACCACCAGATCCACGTTTGCTGGAGGGGGACACCTACTGTTGGCTTGGACCCCAAGCAGGATGGAGATCTTCCTGCCAACAATGCCTACGGCACAGAAAGCAGAGATGGCAGGGCCAGGTCATGATGCTGAAGGGACAGAGATCCTACAGTGTTCACTGTGCAGAGGGCATGGAGCTCCAGTGAGGACTGGGCCCCTAGAGGCCACGCAGGGGCAAGTGCCAAAGTAAAGAACACCAAGACCTAGGTGGTCCTGTAGCAGGAAGCTGGCATCCATCACCTCCACCAGGTGGGGTGTGGGGCATGAAAGGACCCAAGGAGCCGATGCAAGGAGAATTCCAAACAGGCCACAACTACTCCTCTTGTTCCATGTTCTGATTTCCCAAGAATGGTCCTAGTTAACGCCTGTCTTCCCAGTGTGATTTCATTTGCAGAGTTGTCCTGGTTAAGATGATTAATCACATGGCTCTCTATTTAAGGGAGATTGGCAGGTTGTTCATAGAGAAGATATTAGTTACCTATCACTGCCTAAATAATTATCCCAAAATACCGCAGCTTAAGTTCAGGCGTGGCTTAGCTGGGCAGCTTAAGTTCAAGGTCCTTCATGAGGTCACAGTGACACTATCAGACTCACTGAAGGCTCAGCTGTGTGGCTCAGCTGTGTCAGGGGCTAGGGACCACTTCCACGAGGTCCTCCCGTGAACTGCCAGACTGAGGACCTCAGCTTTACACCGCATCAGTGGGCCTCTACACTTTGAGCCACTTTGGTGCCCCAACACAGTGATCAGGAAGGGAGAGAGAGAACAGGAGAGCCCAAGGCAGCCACAGTCTACTTATTACCTAATCTTGGGAGGGACATCCCATCATTTTGCCACATTCTATTCACTGGATGTGAGTCTCTAGGTCCACCCCACACTCAAAGGGAGGAGATTACGTGAGGGCCGAGAAGGTGGGATCACTGGGGGGCATGTTAGAAGCTGCCGACCACCATGAGTAAGTGGGCTCTGGGCTCAGAACTTACCCAATGGCAGTGCTTTGTGCCATCCTGCACTGATCCCCCTTGATGCTTCTCACCCCTTCCTGCTCCAGCTCGTTGCTATTCCTCCTAGAGTTGCAGATTCAAGGAGCCTCACCAGTGACGGTGATGACCATAAAACCCAGACTGCTGGGTGTTATCTGGACACCAAGGAGACAGAGGCACCTAGCACCACCCAGGACAAGCACTGAAGTTGGACTACTAGGTTCAAATCTCAGCTCCCCGCCTTTAACTGTGTGGCCCAGTCTTGGGCAAGTTATTTCACTTTTCTCTGCCCCCTGTCTATCAAGCATGGTGGTTAATAGCACCTATTTTTCAGAGCCACAGTGAGAATTGTGGAGATGCTCTGTTTGAGATGTATAGCGTTCTCAGCTTACAGGCAGCACTCAGTGAATGGTAATTATCATTATGCAAAACTGCGTTCCCCAGCAGGAGCAGCCCATGAGACTGGATTCGA